GTAGAGCCATGGTGAAACAGAACTAATAGTTTTTATTCTGTGAAATGAACTACTCACATATGTCTCTAAACTTATTGGCATAAATTTAGGAAAAGATTGAGCAAGTAAAAATAAGACGAAAACCTAAATAAATATTTTTCCTAATTACTTATGTTTCCAAGATACAGGGTGATAAAGTGTTACCTATCAAATCAGTTTTTTTAATATAGCTTCTACTATGGGAGACTTGGAAAGGTGATATTTTGCGAACAGTCACTTACTACCAAAACACATATTCATACATAATTACAATTGTTTGAGTGAACACAGTGTCGTAGAAACGGGGGTTGCTTTAAGCTTATTGTTCCATACAAACTTTGAGGTTAGGTTTTTATAACATTTGATACAATTTTTCGATTACACAGTTCGGCTACCATTAAAAATGTGTACCTCTCAAACTTCGATAAATTAAACCGTTTCCAAGATATTCGAGATTACAATAATTGTTATATCGTATTATTTAAAAGGATTAAATGGTATATGATAACAAATTTTATTTTTTAATTGAAAATCTAATAAGGGCATTCCATGAGCCTCGGGACTTTTTGCCCTGACCGTCACGAAAGAAAAATTGTAGTTTTTTTAATAGATATATTTGTCATATTTGTCATAATGTCAAAATATATTTTACAACATATACTTCTATGGGAATTTTTTTCGGTTAAATTATAAAAAAAGTTGAGTAATTACAATCTTTTTATAATGGCCATTAATTACTTATAATGTAGTTTGATACATCGTTGGATCCTCTTGATTTAAGTGGGCGGTTGTCTTAAGGTGAATTCAAAAATATTTAACAAATAATTATAAATATTATTTACTCCATAAATAACAATTATTTGAGACATGATAAGCCCAAAAACACGAAGCTCACTTGTGAAAAAGAATTAAACAATAGGCAAGACATGATTTTCATGCTACCCTGCTCTGACACAAGTTTATTTGGTTGCTAAATACATTAGTATTTTTTGCTGTCAAAAATTTAAAAAATGCGTATGTCGAAGCAGCAAATCATGACTTGCTTGCAATGTGCAAGTTAGCGTAGTGTTGTTTATTATAAAATAAATATATAATTGTTATATTTTTGAATTCACCTTGAAGCAATCTATCAAAAAATATATAGGGCATTCCATTGAAACAATTTTTTTTTCTGAACAGCCCTGTATTTTTTAGATAAAGAATCTTATATTTAAAAAATGTATAAAGAATTATTCAAGACCAGTTTTTAAATAAAAATATATAAAGAATAAAAAATATACCTAACAACTTTAAACACAATATTTTGTATATTTTTAAGAAAATTTTAAAATTAAATCATTTATTGCTTACAACAATTTTTTTTTATTTCAATGATGCCAAAAAAGATAAATTAATTATTTCATTCGTCATACGGCAACATTAAACATTGGGAACTGGCAACTCATAGGTAATTTTAAATACATTTTTGATTAATCAAGCTCCATTTATTTAATAGTGTGAACTTCCCACAATAATTAATCCATGCATAATATCCACATGCTTTGGTATCTATTGAATTGATGGATGTGAATAACGGGAATGCTCATTAACGGGACGAAAACAAACACGATTAGTGCCGCAAAGCACAACAACCCTTATGCATTGGTGTCCGATTTCCAATGCGTATGCCGCTCTCTGCTCTGTGTTTGTCCGTTTGTTTGTTTGTCCATTAACAGGGTTGCAAATCCTAAAGGGTTATCGGACTCTCTAACCTTAGTTACAAACACACCGTAAAATAACAATTTTGGATTAGCAAAGAAGCAATAATTTTGATGACTTTATTTACTGAGCAGTTTTTAATTGAAACCTAAACAAAGCTTCGACAGAAACTTAAAAAAAAATGTAAGCTATTTAATTTTAATTTGTTATATGATTTAAATATTTAAAAAACACAATTTCGTTCTACATCAATTTTAAAAAACATCAACTTCAAAAGAAGCTTTTAAATAATTCAATTGACGAATAAGAAAAATAAAAACTTTTGCTTTGGAGTCTTTGAAATAAAATATTTAGAAATGTAGTGAACTGGTTGGCTAGCGCTCAATGATGATATTTTCCATTTTCGCAAATTACTTCCTAATTACTTTTTAATTTTTTCCAATTAAGACTCAAGAGTTCGCTTGAGTCGATCTTCTGTTTGACAAAAAATACCACGCCAAGGTACTTTTAACTTATTTCTTGACGTTACTGTTTTATACTAAATCATTTTACAAATATTGTTTATTTTCCTTCAACAAGATTTTTTTTTTATTATTCCCAACAAAGTTTTTTATTTTTTTTTCCATGAAAGAACTCTATAAAAGATTATAAAATATCTAAAACGACAAAAAATATTGAAATAACTAATATCATACGACTTTTCATTTGACACCTTGTTAGGAACAAATATATTTCTACATGGAAGGGTGTCTGTCTGAAAAGTTTATTTTGACTCATACTTTCCATTGAATATCATTGAAATGTTTGCGTTTGATTGGCATTGTCGGGCCTGTTTTCGTCGGGTGCACAAAGGATTTTGACTGGCAAAAGTGGCCCTTTCATTATCCAATTTGTAACAAATATCCCGCACACGTACTTAGCTCAGACGTCGGTGCAGCGTCCCCGAGGACAGGCTCATCGAGCTCATTGTTATTGCTGTATCTATCGTATTGAAGAGAAAAAGTATCTCTCTGTATTTCTCGATATTGACGTAGGTGGAACTGACACGTCGCCTATTTTCGAATCTCGAGGGTTTCCACTTTCCTCCACCTCTTCGTATACGTACTACGGTATCCATTTGGCGACATAAAAGAATCCTCCCTCACCCTCCTCCCGAATCGTCACAAAAGAAATATTTTTGCGAAATGTGCTCAAATAAAACCTATTTTGGTGGGGTGGTGCAAGAGTAAGCATGTGAAAAAACAAAGGCAGATAAGAAAGTTGTCTTGAAACTATGTAGACTGGCAAAACTATACAGGCTATATAAAGGGTTTTCCAATAGCTACGCTTGATCTTTGAAATATAATAAAATCAGTTGTGTAAGTGAAACTGACATGATTTTAGTTTTATTTTAAAGCAAATATTATTACATTTTTTACAAATTTTACCAAAGAAATACGTACAAATATTATTTATGAAATATTTTTGACAGTTCTGACACTTCTCCACCAAACATGAAAGCCATCTAAATTTTAAATTATAAATAAAACTAACAATATCGCTACTAAACGGGCATTAAAAAAATATTATATCTTTTACATGGATAAAAATAACAAAACAAGACTAACTAGACTGAAAAGATGAAGGGGGGGACTACATTTCCCAAAAGTTTCAGATTTTTAGTTTTTCCTCAACATAATGATTTCTGAGGGCAAAATTGGCTAATTTAAAAATTATCAAGTTTCAATAATTTTTTTAATAAAGAAAATGATAGTCTATAAACCTCAAATAATAGTACGTTTTCTATTGTATAAGTACTTGATACCTGAAAAAAGCAACTTTCTAGATTTAGCAGAATAGGCACAGGAGGCAGACAAAAATCACAAAAATTGGCAAATTATTAGAAATCTTTAGTGGTTTACCATTCTTTTATGAGATGAACTAATTAGATAATAATAATTAATATTGAAAACATACTTACTACTAGTAAGTAAGTTACTAGGCAGTAAAAGAAATTACAATCATTTCAATAATTGCCACAAAAGTTTTAGCCTCTTATAAGAGAGTAAGAAAATGACACGATTTCAGGTTTTAAAGGGTGCCGATTAAAAATAAAGCAACTAAAAATTAAAAAGGCAACGGTTTTTCATATATGATAGCTAAAAGATCATCCTCAAATTTTTTTATTAAAATAAAAAATCATGCAGCGCAATTTTAAATTCATTTTGATTGACTCAATAACAATGTCAATATTTGGAAATTTAAGTACAAAATTTAGTTTAATGTTTTATTTATATTAGGCAGGAATACGTAACTATAAGTTGCAGTATGTCCAATGGACAATGGACAAATGCTCCTTTTTATTGGAATTTTTATAAATCATCATAATGAACTCTAAGATCTGCTGCATTGTCATTTACTGGAAGACTTTCCCAAAGTAGTCTCCTACTCGTTGGAATAAGTGGAAACAAATTTTATTCGATAAGCTTTTTCCTTTCTCTTGTAATTTCTCTAGGATTTGCTTTATCAGATGGAGTGGGGAGTTGACAGGTTGCTTTTTTGCTAAGGAAATCAAGAAATTTGCATGTATTGTCTGTGTCAAAACTTGTTTTATATGTCAATATATATTTTCCTCTTTCAGCGGTAAATTCGACTATATCTTTCATGTACGGTCTTGGTTCGGCATGTGTAAGTTTATACATTGAGGAGTTGTCAGGCCAGATGAAGAAATCATCCAATTTCATCTCTTTCACTACAACTTTTCCAGACTTTGCAGACTGTACGCAATTCACAAAGTCTGCAAAATCGTAGACTTTTTTTTTTTTTGTAAAGATAGTTCGACCTGGTGATTAAAACTATCATCGGCCATGAAAGCCCAGTTCTTGTTTATTCCAGAACAGTTATCTAACCAAATAATTACATTTTCAAAATCTTTCATTCCTAACAGAAATGCATGGAATGTACTAATGAGATCTTCTTTCTTCCTTCCGGATACACATTCGTGCCACAGACAAGCAAAAGGTTTAGTTGGCTGTTTTTTACCTACTGGTACAAAACTTTCGTTGAAAACATATCAATTCTAGGCATAATCACTTTCTCCAAATCAGCAGAAACACAAATGTTTGTTTGGTCCCAGGCAGTGTTAGCATCAGCTCTGTATTTTCTGCCTGTTTGGCATTACTTATGTTTTTCCCGAGATTGACACGTTCGGCAGTCTGGAACTAAGGAGGTTTTAAACTCCTCACATCTCGCATTCTTCATGGCCCAATGCGGTGAAGGATATATTCAGTTCATTGGAAACGTACTTTCGGTATAATATGAACACTTTATTCCCGGGATTTTTGCGATAAAGTCCTTATGCATATCAATGATGGTAATATCACTCGGTAAATACTTTTTGTTTGGAGCATGTGCCCTTTGATAATGTGAAATGGTGGGGCCAAATGATTCCACATGTTTTTTCATTAGTTCTCGATCAGACTGTGGTGTTTTAGCATGCTTTCCCCGTTTATCTTTGGACATCCCTTTGCTTTCTTAATAACATTGGTAATTGCTCTAATATTTTTGCGATTTTATCCTAAGGTGTTTAAAAAAATATCGTACATAGGTACTGCCTTTTTTTCGCTACTATCATTTTCAAAGAAATAATTGCAGGATCTTGTTCGGGACATCCCAGAGCCTCTTCTTCCTTTCACATCCACTGTGGAAATTTTGAAGTAAGAAAAATTTGACGTTCCTGCCAAGTCATTGACCAATATGCCTGGTTTATTAACTCCCGACGATTTTCCGAGAAATGCAAATGGCACTTTCTTTTGCATTGTTCACAACTGCGTCGAACATTTCCAGTCCTCGTGCAGTCCACTTCAGGTTGCATCAAAGCATTCATAGTTTGCCTTGCGTTTTTTCTCCGCTTTCGTATTTCTGCCACAGTCAAATTATCAGATAAAACATCCGACTCATCGCTTGGGGAATAATTTGGTTCTCTTAAAGAGTCCTCAGAGTCAAAAATGTCCGCTTCAGTAGCTACAGTTTTGAAAGTAGAAGGTTGTTCAATGGATGGAATGATGTTGGATTGGAGTCCTAATTTATTTTGTGTAGAAGTACTTGGACTGCCTTCGGAACGGGCTCCAATGTAACCAGTTCAGCATTTAAACTGTTATTTTTTGCCATACTATTATAAGATGCTGATTGTTGGTTTGAATTCAAGTTAGATTCGTTTGTTTTAAAAGTACTAATAAACTTAAGAAAAATAATTTTATCTCGTCTAAACACGAAAATATAATTTATGCGACTGCAGACATTTTTTCGTCTTCGCTTCGCCGTATCAACACGTTTTTTTAGATTGCACATTGTTAAGTACCAACTGTTGCTAGTCTTAAAGGAAGCATTTCCAACAATAAAAATTGGAGTTACAGCATTTTAGTTAGGCAAAGGACTCATACTGCATTTTAGTTTGGTGTAAGGCTTAAAAAGTTTAGATACTGCAAACTGTATAGCTCATTTATATTAAAGCCAGGTTCATACCGCTTTCTGTCGTCAAAGAGGTGTAAAAATATCCGAAAAATATGGAGTTACTACTCTCTAAATTAGGAGGGCAGTATTGTAATGCTACGGTACAGTAATCATTATAACCGCCCCGTCTAACAACGGAAATAATGAACTCATTATTCAAGCATTAGTGATTCGCTGATTTCAATATTTACTGTTACTATACACTATACAGGGTGTCCTGAAATTAATGCACCATACTTTAACAGCAGATTCTACGTGCAAAAATAAGAAAAAAAGTCCCTATAAACATAGGTCAAGAAATGCCTCCTAAGGGAGCTACAGCCCCCAAAAGGAAAGCCCCTGAAGATGGTTTTTATTTAATATCTCCAAAACCGTTAAAGATAGAAAAGTGAAATTTAGGGAATTAATTAAACTTTTTATGACCAATAAGACGTAACAATAACACTTTAAAAAATTTCATGAGGTTTGGGTCAGATTGATAGGAAGTGGGGTTAAAACCACCTTAACTTTTTTGTACGTATCTTGTACTAGAATTTGATGTCAGATTATGAAATTTTGGAGTTTTGCACATAAAAAAGGTCATCTTGTTGAACTTCGTTAACATGCACCGTTTTCGCTTAAAATCGATTTGAAAATTATTTTAAATGGCATAAAAATTCACAATTAAATCACAACCATAGAAATGGACTCGCTTGGTCCTTAGAATACGACTGCCATGTTTAGGAAAAAATGGAATAATTCAAGACAGGTGATAGTTTCATGTAGTAAGTGACAGGGTGTTTCTACTTTTTTATAAATATTAGATAAAAACCATATTCAGGGGCTCTCTTTTCGGGGGCTGTAGCCCTCTTAGGAGGCATTTCTCGATCTATATTTATAGGGACTTTTTTTCTTATTTTTGCACGTGGAATCTGCTGTTAAAGTATGGTGCACTAATTTCAGAACACCCTGTATAGAGAACGCCGTGATTGAACCAATAGAGATTTAAATTGGAAAAAAGTGAGGTTGGAACTTTCTAACATGACAGATTTTTTTATATACAGTGTGGCCCATTTAAGATGAAAACGCCCCCTTAACTTTTTTATTTTTTACTCGGTTTTAATGAACAAAGGCTCAAAAGATAGAGAATAAAAAACTTTTTTAGTTTTTTGTTTTGTATCAATTTATGTTTATAACGTGGTAAAATAAACTTGTCTGAAATAGTTATTAATAGTTAATTTTTGATAAAACTAAGTTTGTACCCATTCTGAAGTATTCCGCGTTTAGTGGCGTACTTATTTTTCTCCTAAATTTCCTAAATGTGTTTTATTTACGTTATAAATATTTAAAAAAAAGAATAGTTAAATAGTTATTGACTTTTCGTTTTTAATGAAATTTGGTTTGTAGCCATGCCGCATTCAGTAGCGTACTTATTTTTTTCGAAAAAACGACCCTAATAATTTTTTAAGAATTTTGATATAGAAAAAATTGTATAGAAGGCATCTGGGGGTGTTTCCATCTTAAATGGACCACACAATACGAAGGCGACTGTTAGCCCAGGAAAGAAAGATTGTAGAAGGAAAACTCGATGGTAGTCGGGTTTTATTTTTTTTATGTAGACTCAGGGGTGCTGATAATGAATCAAGAATATTCCCCAAAAATTTCTTCTCGCGTCCCCTAATTTCATCCCCCGAAAGGGGAGTTTTTTTGCTTTTTGGCTCATAACTCGTTAACCGTGCAATTTTTCAGAATTTGATCTCTTATACTTTTGATTATGTACTAAATTAGGCACACGTTAAACCCCATTGTGCACCTATATGATGTGCCCTTTTGCTATGCGCAGTGTGCAAACTTAAGCGTTGCTTTCAAAATCACTTTTTTGTTTTTTTTTTATTATAGCCCAATTTTAAATTATCGATCCCAAACCTTACGGTAATCAAACATAACCGAATTGACGATTTTTTGAGGTACTAGACTTTTTTCAAAAGTTACTGCTTTTCAATGTACAGGGGGTTCTTTTTTCAAAACTTTAATTTTTGTGGGGCACTTGCAATGAAAATAATTAAAAAAAACTGGCTCATTAAAGCCGTTTGGGAAATACATCACAAGATAGGTATGATGCTTTAAGTAAATTGATTAAAAATATAATTTTAAAAGTAAAAAAACATTAAATTAATACGTTCCTATATACAGGGTGATTCTTAACGTATACGCATAATCTTAAGAAATTATAGCTGAGGATCAATAATAATGAAAAGAAATTAGTAAAACATTTTTAGTTTCGCAAATAATTTAAAAAGTGTTAACAAAAAGTTATTTACTGTGACAGTAATACCACTAGATCTTTTAATTTTTCGTTAAATTTTCAATTTGTTGTTGCATACTGACGAGAGAAGAGTGTCAACCTAAAAGTTTTTTTTGGTTTATGTTGGTAATCATAGCAACGACATAGCAGCGTAACAATTTAAATAAACAGGAAAAAAATCGCTGTAAGTTTTCTCAACAACAATGCCCCACCAATACTTCAACAATAAATACAAATGTTTGATATTTCCATCAGTACTTTGTTATCAGTTGTGGTCGTATTCAGTGATGACTTATGATGAAAAAAAAGTAGTACCTAAACCATTTTTAGTAACAGTCTGTTACTAAAAATGGTTTACTACTTTTTTTTCATCATAAGTCATCACTGAATACTATAATATTAAATGCATTTTAATTTTTTATGAAATTCACGTCCTTTTATTTACCTATACATTTCCATCACCGTAATTAAAAATGTTTTACTACATTTTATTATTGGTCGTCGGCTATTATACATAAGTTACGCATAAGAATAACCATGCATAGGTGGACAAACCCGGCGCTACTAGTTTTGTTAAAAACCTATTTTACAAATTAAATGTCTCTAAAGTTTACAGTTTTTAAGCTTGAGCTTCCGTTTCAAAAAGCTTTTTAAATTTTGTAAATCACTTGTCAATGTTAAATCGAATGAATCAGTTACTTTGTTAGGTTGCCCCTTTGACTGGTTGCAAAATTGCAAATTGAAAGTCTCTTAAAAATCGAATCAAAAGAGGAGACCCTCTTTATAAAAAATTACTCGATCAATTACTCTAATCCATGCATCGTCGATACAATAATTTGCATGCCGCACAAAAAGAAAAAAATGGCACATATGCATATTACGCGTAGCGGGGGAAGTAACAAAATAATCACTGTATAAAGTGCGTACCAAGTACATTCACTTGTCCCCCCATTGAAAAAAAAGCCGCATTATGGGATATGACGTAGAGAAGGCGATAATGTTTTTTTCGGGGGCGGAATTTTAAAATGGGCTTAGCGAGAGAGCTCCGAAAAAAATCACGACTCTATTTATTTAGGGTGGGTTTATGCGGATTGGGTGTTAGGTCGCTTAAAGCTTCAAAAGATTTATTTCAATTGCACCTCGAATAAATAATAATATGCAAACTATTTGATCGAGGGATTCTGTACACCTGACATGTGCATGTGGAAATATACATCCGATTAACATTCTATGTAAGGAAAAATTGAAAATTGTACTACATATCATTATAATTTACATCCCTAATTGAATGAAGCAAAGAAAAAACCGAAAATACTAAAAAATGTACACTGAGAAAAGTGATTTTTTTAAATTCACTTTTTAATAGAATTCTTTAACCGCTACTAAAATAAAAACCACAAACATGGTTTTTTCGAAGAAATATTAAATTAAGCTTCATTAATAATAATAATAATAATAATAATAATAATAATAATAATAATAATAATAATAATGTTTATTTCAAGAAATTTTGCGTACAAAAGAAAATGCAATACAAATATTAAATGAAATTTGGTCCAGACAATACATTTCCTAATGATTTAAAAATTCATTCAAATCATATGGTTCAATATGCATCAGCAAGTTATAAATGCCAGTTTTAAACTTTATAAGGTTTCCTTCAATTTGAATATTTGTTGGTAGTTTGAAACATAGTAACAACTTTTCTCAAAAGTACTCAGTCTATGCTTAGGATAGTTGTAACCGGAGGATCTTGTAATAGTGTTTCGTTTTAGGTGTTCAAAGTTGGACTTATTTTTGTGTACAAATACTAAAAGTTCATAAATATATAAACCAGTCGCGGTCAAAATACTTTTGCATCTAAAATATCCTCTACACGAATCAGTATTCCCTAAATTGCTCAATATCCGAATTACACGCTTTTGTATTAACCAAACGTCTGAAACACTACTACTTCTGCCCCAAAAAATAATGCCATACCTAAGCAGAGACTGAAAATTTGCAAAGTAAATGGTCTTTAGAGTTTCATTATTTACATATTTCTTTAGTACCCTAATTGAATATGCTACACTGTTTAGCTTTTGGCTGAGTTGTGCTAAGTGAGTATTCCAATTTAGGTACTCATCAATATAAAGGCCCAAGAACTTTGTGCTAGATGTATACTTAATTATATCATTATTTATTTTAACATTACTAGGAGTTTCTATGCGATCTTGTACTTTTTTGAACAATATACAGTTGGTTTTTTCCTGGTTCACAATAAGTTTGTTCATTGCAAACCAGTCATTGAGACATTTTGTTAAATTTTCAGTTTGTGTCAATATATCAAGGTAGGTCTTACCCCTGACCAATAGATTTGTATCGTCAGCAAAATTTACCATATTCTGATTGGTATTTTGTATTACACTTCCAATATCGTTTATATAAATTATAAACAATAATGGCCTTGAGGTATTCCAACGTTAATGACTCTGATTATTTTAACCCTCTGTTTTCTACCTGAAAGATATGACTGTATCCACGTTAGCGCACAGCCTCTTACTCCATACTTGTATAGTTTTTTTAAAAGTATATCATAATTTAAGCAATCATATGCTTTAAAGAGATCTATAAAAAGTCCCAAAGATAGCCAATTACTCTTAAAGTCATCATACATTTTTTGTAAGAAGCTGTGCACTGCTGTTTCCACAGACCTACCCTTTAAATAACCATGCTGATTTTTATTAAATAAATTATTAATTTCGAAGAAATCCTTTAGCCTGGCACAAATTGTTGCTTCAAAAACTTTTGAAAAAGAAGATAATAGACTAATTGGTCTGTAGCTGTTCATCAACGTTGGATCACCTTTCTTATAAATAGGACTAACTAGGGCCGTTTTCATTTGGTCAGGAAAGATGCCATATTTTAATAAGCGTTCTTCAAAGAATTTATTAATTTGTAAATAATCATTTTGTAAATGCAAACCCTGAATTGTGTTTATTTGGACCAAATACCGGACAGTGCGGACTTAGTATTTTTATCAGTTTGTATACCTAATCTTCCTTATACTATTCAACTAAGTACAAGTGTGTAGATTTCGCCCCAAATAATAAAGTCGACCGTCACTTCCCTTTTTATTATTTTTTAATCAACGTAAGTCGCTCTGCTCGACCGTCGACTGTTCCCCTCACGGCCTTCTGTCTGAAGCGTCCCTAATTTATTCCGTTTGTTTTACTTTCAATCATCGGTTTCATTCAATTGATTCATTTCGTCGCAACGCAATGAAATCGTCTCGTCCTTTTTTTGAGTGACATTCGAAATGCCCAGCGATATAAGTGTCTATTTGTTTTCTTTTTCCACGTATAACTTTTCCGCCTGTGTGGTGAACGTATGACTAATCCCGGGGATTATTTCGACAGATGGGTGGACACTTGGATAATTAAAAAAAATACAAGGAAATTGTATATTGTCATTAAGTGTTTGTCCTTATTTACCTAACAAATTGACAATGACTATGAAAAAGTGACGTTTTTGATTTTACATTGTACAAAAAAACATTTATTGACAAATTAGAGTCCTGCTAGCATTCTTACAAAAACAATAAGAAATATTTGAATTCATCCAAGTGTAGACAGTTCCATAGAAGAGAATATATTCTCAATTTTAATAGGAAACGGTTTAAGTGTAGAGTCAACCACTTAAAATGACTGAAACTGATAGCGCATGGTAGCAATAAATATGCAAATAAAGTGTGTTTTCGTTTTGAATAGGCCTCTTCTCGTATCATAGCGAGCATTAAGAGTATGGCAAACACTTGGTCACGAAATTGTTTTAGGCAATACCCTCTCATCATTTAAAAATAAAACATTACTTTTTTGTTTGTTTCTGTTTTTGCACAGTTTGGATTTATAGCTTATTTTTAACCTTAGTACAAATTTGCGCTTCCGAAAGAAATTTGCAAAATTGCACTTTTCCGAGGAGCGAGCGTTTTTTTACTTTGTCGCTCGCCGAAATATTTTTTAAAAGATAGCGTGAACTTAAAACTCACTGTATAAATTTGAATAAGGTTCTATGTTATACAGGTTTTTAAATGGTCATCTTTAGGGGCAGATCCAGAAAAATATTATATACAATTGTATGGAAAAAATCTTGCATCGCTCATTTTTGTATTTGATTATGTAATAATATTCGTACCAAATGTGAACCTCTAGGTTGCCATTGGTTGCCATTGGTTGCCCTCATATTGATGGATCCAAAAAAAGTTGACTGGGAATGGTACACATACAAAAATCTTACATAGTACCAAGAACAGCGCTGTTATTGAATGCATTAAAATTGAAGCAATCTAAATTGTTATTTGCTCAATTAATTACTATTAAACCAAAATAGGTAAATATTTTGCCTAAATGTCAAAGACTTTATTGCGTTAAATGTATACTAAGTTAGTATACATACTATAGTAACGTTATTAAATAAATCAAATTAGTATTTAATGCAATAATATTCTAACAATTAAATATCAATATAAATATCAATAGATTTAGGAGCGATAACTTTTGTTATTAATTTAAAAACAGTAAACGATTATAAACCAAGTGCTAACTACCTATTGGTATTATAGGAACTATTATTTAGGAATACGGATTACAAGATCCCATTGGTTTAATGGCTCACCCATTCATACTATGCTAGCGTTTTTTCTGTGTAATGAAAAACTTTTGGGTATTCCAAAAATCAATAGAGGAACAGGAAAGCCTCAAGCTCAAGCATGCATTGATGCAACTAAAAAAATGTTAAGTTGAATCGTTCATTAAAGGCATTGGAGCATTGGACATTGGAGCTTTGGACAATTTCTTGAACGTAAACTTGTCTGAATTGATGCCGGAATCATTTCATGAAGCTTATACTTTCGGCTGCTTTATCATGTTTGTTCGGCTCAACTGCATGATGCTCCAGAAGCTGGACTATTCAACCTCTCTTAGAAAGCGTAACCAACCAAATTGATCAACTGCTTATAGCGTAGGTGAATCCTTTATTCGAATCGTTCACAGAAAAAAATCTAACATAGTACCAAGAACAGCGCTGTCATTGAATGCATTAAAATTGAAGCAATCTAAATTGTTATTTGCTCAATTAATTACTATTAAACCAAAATAGGGAAATATTTTGCCTAAATGTCAAAGAATTTATTGCGTTAAATGTATACATAGTATACATACAATAGTAACGTAATTAAATAAATCAAATTAGTATTTAATGCAATAACATTCCACCATTCTAACAAATAAATATCAATATGAATATCAATAAATTTAGCAGCGATAACTTTTGTTGTTAATTTAAAAACAGTAAACGATTATAAACCAAGTGCTAACTACCTATTGGTATTATAGGAACTGTTATTCAGGAATACGGATTACAAGATCACATTGGTTTAATGGCTCACCCATTCATGCTATGCTAGCGTTTTTTCTGTGTTTGAGAAAAGAATTACTAGAAAAACAGCAACCACAAGACGATTATAAGGAATTTTTGAGCTCGTTTCTTTTGTTTCTTGGTGGATGAAATGCGCTCCTGGTCCTACACATCATGCTTGATGGATGTCAAAAGCCATTTATGTCCTAAAGTTATACCTCTTCCAAAAATAGACAAATATTATTTAGCTCTATTTGTGAGCTTGGTTTATGAAAGATATTGGAATGAAACTTGGAATTATAGATACCTATAATTTACATTTAGATATCCTAAAAAGATATCCTAGAATGCTTGGTTTATTTTAGAGCACTTAGTAGCCTTTCCATTTTTTGATAACACAGTGTCTACAAAAACTAAAGAAATAATGGTAAAAAACCTAAAGCGTCCACGTCGCTTTGATTTAACTGAGAAAAATGATCTCACAATAGACTGAAATTATAGTATACTGAAAGAATAAGTTTCTTCTTTAATGTCTTTATTATTGAAGGGTAATCCAAAAGTAAAAAATTACTAAAAGTACCACCTCAGAATTGGGTATACTTAAGAATAGTTAATGATACTGCCGCAAATCTATGGAAACAGTTTCCTCAAGACACTTTCCTGAGCCATCAAAAGCATGTCGTAATTTTTAATTTTAGTGTTTGATTTTATTGATTTTTTTAATATACGAACTCTAAATATTATCCGATTTAGGTATCATAGAATAAAAAGAACTTGTGGAGATGAAATATTTTTTCAACTCCCACCTCCTTCCATGACACTAAGTGACCTTTTAAATACACACTGACAAGTTGTGGCTTTATGGCGTTTTAGGCACGGGCTGAACTTGGCAACAGGTTTTTAGTCACGGGCTGAAGTTAGTTTTAAGTTGGTTGACCGTTGTCAAATGACATACAATCGTTAAAATAATACTATGTATGCATGTAAAAATTATTTTATTATCTCAATACAAAAATACAAAAGTATTAAATAGTTTCTCAACGCCAATTTTTGAAAAGTTTATTATTTAATTTAATTTCGCCGGTAGTTAACTTTTACTGTAAAAAACTGCTTCTATATCATATTAAACGGTTAATTTTCAAGGGATACATTTCGATTTACAGATAAAAATTTGACATTAAGAATTTTCAAGTTGGTTACTCTATTGTTTTATAGATGTCGCTCTATAAAACTATTTAATTTAAATAATTTTTAGATAATATATTATATTATAATAAGTATTTGTCGTAGAAAATGCAACTCGTTTATAAACTTTTCTAGATACTAATTTAATTTAATTTAATTGATTTAATTTAAATTTGTGTCTTAAATGGCGTTTATCAAACTTGATATATAATATATACTATAAAACTTTTATTTTTGAACCACTTTTAGGTAGGTACATTATATTGATAGTAGCATTTATTAACGTCACTGATCATCTTAATTAATAATATACATTTTAATGTGTTTTGTAAAATAGGTTCCAAACTTAAAAAATTTCAAATTTAAATCTTAAATAGACGACCAAACTTCTATTATACATTTCAATTACTGGCTGTGTATTTAATGATCGCAATGAGAGAAAGGAGTGCAGGGGTGGCAAATAAAAGGGTTAAAACCGACAAAGAGAGATATGAATATAAAGTGAGAAAGGCAATATCATTGTTGGTAATACCATTGCGAATATTTGCACAACCAATCTAATGCCCTAATTATATGCACAGGCAAACTGTATTTCTTCTAATTCCAAATTCGTTACGATTTGCACGAACATTATTCGCTGCATATGCTTATTTTGAACATGTTTATTACAATCCAATATGTTCATTTGGAAATATGTTTTTGTTAGCCAATAACATAATTTAAGACATTTAACGAATGAGTTATATTATATAATATTTGTTTTCTTTGTCGTTGTTTGCATCATTTTGTTTTGTTAGTTAGTTAACCTCAATTTAAAATATAATCAGATGTATTAAACTTCTTGACCACATAGGCTAATTTTTACCAGTAGCTATAAGGTAGCGAAGTAAAATACCAATGTATTTAAATATTAAAAAAAGAATATCGTACAAACCTAATTTAAATATTTATCTCGCGTCAAATTATATTAACTCGGTCTTGGATTTTAATTAAAGGAGAAAATCTGCGCCAGATTGACTGTCGAGTTGTCTTGAGACGGTGCGAGGATTAAAAGTAAACTTCTTATAACCGCCACCTTGGCTGTGTTCTATAGGTGCTGCAGGAGTTCGCCCTGTTGTACTGTTTTCCCTCTAAACCCGGGCCTAAATATAAATTAACGACATGTCTTTACATCGAACAAGAGGATTACTAAAACAAGCTAGATTTCATTACCAAGTATTGATTAATTCTTACTTACTATAAAATATTTAACGTACAATTTTCATTCTGCAAAAGTAAAAATACAATTACACAGCGTGTCCCAAAAATTCCGCTATAACGCAGCAACGATGAAATATTGTACATCTAATAACAGTTGTTATGGAAACTATTTAAGTAAGGCATCTTGATGGCAGTTTATGTCAAAAAACCAAAACTTTTAGTTTTAAAGCGTCATTAGAGTCAAAATTCGTGAAGTGAGCATGGTAATAAAAATCGGTAAAAACTTATTTTACATTAAGTATGGGATTTCCGTATTAAATTCCCTAACTTTTAAAAATAAATCATTTAAAATTTCTATCAAAACTAAAACTCAATATACCTACATAATTATCTATCATATATCTTTAGGTTAGGATAGGACGAGGGGTAAACCACTTTAAAATCTTAGAGACCAACGTTCAATGTTAGTGGACGTTGTGTTGTGATTTTTTTCCTTATCAGTCGTTATCAATAAGGAAAACTTGCTTAATCAGTGCTTAATCAGTGCTTAGCGACGCGTTGCGCATGACTACCCTTGTTATTGTTATCCTTAGCCGTTAATTCGTAAGCAATTGACGCGTTTCTCGGAAAAACATCATTAGTCCAAAATTAACATATTTGAGAAAATGAAAAAAACTCTCCGACATTCCCATTTTTGACCAAAGTACTTTATTGACCTATTTACTACATGTAAAAAAATGTAAGATACTTTGTCCAGAATTCCTCATGTTTTTTTTTCGACGAATATGAAAAAAACACAAAAAATACATGAACATGTGAGGATTTTAGAAGAAAAAAACGAACAATTCTCCTTACTACAAACACTACAAACTAAATATTAACTCTGAGTAACAAAATAAATAAAAACTGAATTACTGCCACACTCAGTCTTCGCATCCACTGCTGTTATCATCGTTGTCGACCGTGTTATCAGGACTGTAAGGTGCTATGGTCTTCTGGTCTTTTATCAAGTTATCATAAAATTTTCTATTGCTGTGGTCATGTAAAAGAGGTAGAAGCTTTTCTAGAGTGTCCAAAAACGTCACATGTTATGCACATGTGACTTACTTAGACAAAACGGAGTGGACTTGTGATGTTTTTGAAGAACAAGCTAAATTTCATATTTAATTATTATGGAACCTATGACATTTTTACGAGAAACACTTATTTGTATACGTATGTATGGAGGTTAGGAAACAGTTGGTGCTAATATCTAAATTTCGACGATATTGGACTAATGATGTTTTTCCGAGAAACGCCTCAATTTTTAATTTAAAAAAATCAGTGGTTTACCCCTCGGGAATAGATTATGGGTACTTCCCCCTTATGTGGCTTACAGAAACAACATATATTACAAAGACGTTTTAAAAAAGTTTTAAAGGTATACTTTATTGCAGAACCATAAGCTGCCACAACACTCTTCAGTTTTCTGGACATGGACATAATTAAATGTTGCATGCTGTGGGAATCAACAAGCTCTTCCAAGCATTTTTAACAGCGTGCCAAAATTTTCGCGGTTCACTATCCTAAAATCCTTTTGGTATAACTTTTTTACTATGAAACCCCATATGTTCTTAATAGGGTTCAAGTCAGGACTTCTTGCTGGCCATGGCAAAACATTTAAATTGTGGTTGTTGACCCACTCTCATACTATTCAAGCAGTATGAACTGGAGAATTGTCCTGTAATAAAAATTAATGAATATAAATAGTTACGTACATGAAGACATCCAAATGTAAACGATTTTTGTTTGTCATGGATTTTTTTAAAGTAATTAATTACTGTAAGTCTGACTTTTCCCAGTCTCGTAACAAAGAAGGGGTAGAATATAAATTTAATTATTATCCTAAACTACAAATTCAATGTTTTTACTTCCACTAGAGCATTACAAATAAAGCAATTCTTAAAATTTCGTTTTCTTATCTTTTAGTGTTTAAAAGTTACTAAACAAAAACTAGGTAGTTTGTTTAATTTTTTTAACTTTATGTAACTTGAAAACGAAAAAACGTACAGCATAAATATGAGAAAAAAAACTATTATTTTTTACTAAGACATCTACCATTTAATTTTTTCTCAATCTTTATGTCACACCCTGTTTAAATTATATAAATTTAATCATAATAAAATTTAATTACACAAACTTCTTCAAAAAATGCTGTTAAAAAGGTGTTTTGTAATCTTTTTATACTTACATCCTTGTTAAGCGTGCGTCATTTTCTGGAACACCCTGTATAAAATTTTGTTAAATTATCAACAAAAAAAGTGACTTTTGGGATTACTTTAAGTGGGTGACTACTTTGAAAAATTGGATGGCATCGACAGATGGGCTAAAACAGATTCATCGCGATAAGTTGGTGCCGTCAAAGGACCTCCACGTCCTTTTAGAGCAGAAATACTGCTACTTACCAAATCAGGAATTAAACTATACAGAAAATCCCACTTGAGATTAATTTCTGAAAATAATACAATATATTTAATTTTGGTTTTCTAAATTAAGACTCTTAAAATGAATTAGTCAAAAATGACTAATTGTCATAGCGAAAAAGCAGCCACTAATAATTCTCGTCAACAGCAATTTATATTCCAGATATTTAGCAGTCAATTCCTATGTAAAATTATACGCTGGATCCAACAATGTCCTTAAAAGTTATAAAGGTAACTAGTACAGTTTTTGAGATATAGTCAATTTTCTATATAATATGGAATTGACTTTAACTCAAAAACTGCTCTACTTTTATAATTTTTGACGGTATTTTTTAATTCAGGGAACAATTTTACGTAAGAATTTACTGTTATACCTATATGTCAGAAATATAAATTGCTGTGGACTACAGTTTTTAGTGGCTGAGAGTACACAAAAATAGTACATTATCTAACAGTCGGAGAAAGCGCCTATTTAAATCCGAGCTTATTGTTCGCTGCCGCGGCTGCAGATCTGAGCGAGGTAGTTAATATGCTTTCTCCGCCGTATTGTATATACAATTTTTTTTCAAGCATTTAAATTATGGGGTTTGCAACATTTTGACAGGTTTGACGTTTGACATGTAATATTATAGGTTATGTACATGAATGGTTAGACCAAGTCAAATTAATCGATTATTTACTATTTATTACACAAAAATCGCATTTTATGACTTTTCTATAACCAATCAAGCTCAAATTCCATAAAAATTATTTTCAAGGACCAAAATATCTTTTCCACCGGCAATATAAAAATGCTGTTGTGGAAATATCACAGAAATGGAATTTTAATTTTAATCACAAAATGCGATTCCACATAAGCTACATATACCTTTAAAGGGGCTTATTTTTTACCAAAACAAGGTTTTCAAGGTGAAAAATCTAGTGAAAATATTTTTATTTTATTTTGAAACACTCTATATACAGTGTGTCCCATTTGTTTGCGACTCACCCCTGTAATATCTTTGTTTATTGTGCGATTTTAACCGGATTTGTTTTAAAGAGTAGATCTTGATAAACTGTATTTTTGGAGCAAAAAACGCCATATTTGTAAAAATTTGTAAATACAAGGCCTACTATGTCAGTTTTTAAGAGTAAATTTTTAAGAATTTATATTAGCGATTTTTTTAAACAAAATCTAAGCACGGCACTGGATTCACCACACCTCAAAAGACCCTATACTAAATTTTATTGACAAATTTTAATTAGAAAATTGCACAATAATAACCACAAAAATTTGTTCTGTCAAGTTATCCATGAAAAAAACATTGAAATAAAATTAACATGGTACTATAACTATAAGTTTAATTTTATTTCAATGTTTTTTTCATGGATAAGTTGAAGGAACAAATTTTTGTAGTTATTATTGTGCACTTTTCTACTTAAAATTTTTCAATAAAATTTAGTTTTGAGGGGTGGTGAATCCAGTGCCGTGCTTAGATTTTGTTTAAAAAAATCGCTAATATGAATTCTTAAAAATTTACTCTTAAAAACTGACATAGTATGCCTTGTTTTTTGTACAAATATGGCGGTTTTTGCTCCAAAAATACAGTTTATTAAGATCTACACTTTAAAACAAATCCGTTTAAAATCGCACAATAAATAAAGATTTTATAGGGGTAAGTCGCAAACAAATGGGTCACATCGTATACATATATGCATATTTAAATGCAATGCCAACCTAAATATTCCCTTTATCATTAATTTTTACTAATTATTATAAAGAAAATGAGAATATTAACGAAATACCCTCGTCAGATGGCTACAAAAAGAACGACTAGAAAGTTAAGAGTATACTACTTATAGGCTTGCCTAAAATTGTATAAC